GTAGCGAGGTGAAATGACTAAAGTAGGTTGCTCACCCAAAGCCTTTGTTGGTCAGGCAGCCAAAGCACAAAACACCACAAAACAAGTCCAATATCTCAATTTTAGGACACTTGTAAATATGTATCTTATTTTTAGACATGCATGTCTTATGTTGGAACATTGAGATGATACCTTTATGCATTATGGGACTATGGATGCCTGTGACTGTCCCATTCTTTCAGGCGAGTGTCTCACACTTTGTATCAGAGTCAAAACTCAAAACCTGCATAACGTAGGGCCAAAAGTATTAAGTGCCAAACTACATTCAGAAGAAAGATGTGACAGCTCAAAGCTTGCTAGACATTGGTCATCCTCTATTACAAAAGCTGAGGAGGTCACACCAATAAGGGCCTCTCAACCCCTACATGTTGGTGTTTAACACATCCCGAATTTAAAATTTGTGCCTCATGTGGGGCATGCAACTCGAAGCATACCACGGACACCAGATGGAAGTTCTGGCTTGAAGTCGATTATGATCAAGGAGTCATTATATGGGGATCCAAAGTAAGTCTTCTTGGAAGAGGACTTCACATACATAACCTTTGAGGATGAGGAATCTACTGAGCATATGTTCTCATCTTCAGCATGGCGGTCCACTCCTTTAGCATGATATGCCATTGTGAGGGTTTAAATAGATTTTCCATCAGTAGAAGACCAACTGGCTAGGGTAAGGGCTCTTATGCCTTAGACTGCTTTGAATATCCTTGAGGGTTTGGTCATATGATTGAAAAATTTAGTCGTCTAAAACATGACATGAGAAGGATGACAAAGGCCAAAGAGATAGAGGTTAATGTTTCACCTCCCTCAAGCCCTAAGGAGCTGGTATCTGCTATTTCTAGCTTTATGAGGTCTCAAAGCCCTCCTCCAAAGCAGCATACTACGTCAATGTTAGAAAGGTTTGCGGGGGTACCTCATTAGGGTTGGAAAAGTGAGCTTCTTCTATAATGGACTCTTAATTCATTGGCCACTGAAGACAAAACTATACCATGGTGCACATACACTTGTAGGAGCGAAAAGAGAAGATGGCAGCAAGATGCTCTTGAAAGAGCTATCCTGCTATCCTTCAACAAGCTCATACTCCTTAGGTCCATTGTTCATATGGAAAAACCACTAGGTGGTGCTCGGGAAAAATCTACCCAAGGGTTGCAATAGCCCATATAAATGGATGATTTTGAAGCAGTTCTACCCTTGGAATGACTATGACAACCCTAACCTCAATGTTTGAAAACTCAGCCGCCCGATCGCCTCGGCGAAAAAATTTTAAAAATGCTTAGGCGCAATCTGGGCGGGGTCATTATGCACCCTGCTTCTGGGCACCCACCTAGGCGTCGCCTTGTGACTTGCGAGCGGGCCAAAAACAAATCTTCGGTGAGGGTAAAAAATTTAATTTTCCCCCCCTAAAAAAGCGAAAAAAGGGTTTTAAGGGGTATTCTAAACCCCCAATAGAAAATCTGTGGCCTTTAGGGTGAGAACGCCCCCCCCCCCCCCCTGGCGCCAAAACCACTATTTTGTGATTTATCGAAAGATCGATAAATTTTTTATGTTTTCGATTTCTTCTCAAAACAAAGGCAATAGTTCGTGGGCGTATTTGAAGCTTCTAGTAGTTGAGCTTGAGAACTTTTGGCGAGGTTTGCACCAACATCGATTTGATTTTTGATATTTTTAATATATTATCATATTTGAAAGAGGGTTTTGATTTTATTTTACTATAACATATTATGTTATGAATCATGTGTTTTTTTTTTTACTTTTTCTTTTTTTTTTACGATTTATTTACATGTTTGTAGCTAAAAGATTGATTTTTTTGGTGATTAATTGAATTTTTTTCTCACTTGGACGATGTTTGGGGTGGGGGGAGGGGGTTTATTTTGGTGAGGGCACCCTGTCTCTGGCCGCTTGCCTAGGCGGACAGGCACCCAAACCGCCTAGGCACCCGAATCTGTCTTTTTGAACATTGTCTAACCTATGAGTATAAACTGGATGGTATAATACTCCTTGCAACATGAGTATAAGCTATAAAGTATAAATGGGATGGTATAATACTCCTTGCAACATGAGTATATACTATAGAGTGACATACTAATGTCAGATCAGATCATTGATAACCGAGAGTAAGTTTGGCAACAGTTATTGTCCCACCTATAACGATGTTCTGGTTTTCACATTCTTATTTATACAGAGGTCCCACCAATGGGTATTAAACTCTTATAACTTGGAGAAATACGTTTTGTGTTAGGACTCTCTATATGTAATGCTCTTTATTATAAAGTGCGCCTATTATGTCTGATATTGGTAATATTAAATCCTTGGACTGACCACATGAAAGTCATGTAATGGTCGATGTGATCTTAAACTACTATGCATCCTTATTACATGATGTTAAACTACATGCTGTATCGGTAGTAATCGGACCAAAAACTACATGATATACTTGGCCTACTCACTTAAAATTAGGGGGAAAAAATGAACCCACAGAAAATGAATGCCTTAGGCCATAGTTGCAAAGTCCTTCAAAGAGAAAAATAAAAGGTAATAAAAGGTTGAGGCCAAACCCAAAACAAAACAAAAAATAAAGATTTGGAGTTTGTAAACTCAAGGTTCAGAAATGAAGGAAAATTCAGCAATAATGAAAAAAAGGGAAGAAAATGCTGAAGAGCTTTTCTTGATATTCAAAGCAACACAACCTACGGAAATGGTCTTCCAGGCATCCCACTTCACTCTTCTATGCAGGAGGAGATGAAAAGGCTTAAAGCTACCTTAGTACTGTAAAATGGGTTTTGAATCCACTAGAGATCAAAATAAAAACCTTCAATTGAATTTCAGATCCTTTAGATGTCTTGATGAATCTGCGTGGGATTTACTCTCTCTAAATCCATTAACGACTTTCTATCACTCATAATGAGGATTTTGAATGACAAGTTGCGTCACCCCTTTTGAGGGGCTATGAGTGAAGACACGTTAAATACCAAGCATCAATTAACGGAAAAATAATTAAGAAAACAAACATGGAGACAGCAAAAGTTGACATCAAATTTCCCCTTACGTGGTTTTTGTTTATTTATATTTGATTGTTAGTACATCTTTCCTGGATACCAATTGTTACCTTGTTAATTAGATAACCTCGAGGGGAAGACATTGATAGGAGAAGAGAAGAAGAAAATTTACAGCATGAATATGCTCATTTGACATAATGTAAGAAGCGAAAGAAAGCCTTTATGGCTGACAGTGAGACCATTAATTTGAAGGTTTTTGAGGGCGTTTTCTCATCTCTCTTCGCTTCTATTTCTTCCTTCAGACGCTGGCTTCTTGCTACTTTTCTCTTTGCTTCTCTCTGGTTATTTCAGGCTCCCTTGTCTTCATGAAAAATTAAGCCACAACTTGATAGGATCAAATCCTTCTCTCCCTCTATCCAATGTGCAACCATTTACTTTCTCTTTCTTCTTTGCTTTAATACTCAGAGAGAGAGAGGGACACCCTCTTTTAGGGACGTGGGGGCACACATTCTCTCTTCTGTCCTTTTTTTCTCTCTCTCTCTCTCTCTCTCTTTCCTTTTTTCTTTTTAAAGAGAGGAGATGGGTGACCGTGGCATGTCCTGCCTTATTTTGGAGGAGATACGAGAGAATGGGGGTAGAGAGGGATAGATGGAATGGCTAAGGACGAGCCGTATGAGATTAGGGGGTATGCTCTTTTCTGGGATATAGAAAGTGAGTTACAAAGAGATCAAATGTGAGAGACAGATAAATAGATATAGTTCAGAAGAGTGAGAAATGATGATGGGAAGCATACACTAATTTTAGAAGTTTGAGTAGAGATACGTCGAAAGATTGAGAGAGAGAGAGAGAGAGAGAGAGAGAGAGAGAGAGAGAGAGAGAGAGAGAGAGAGAGAGAGAGAGAGAGAGAGAGAGAGAAGAGTAAGTAGTAACGTAGTAGTTACGTTAGTTACGTTAGTTACGTTACGTTACTTACGTTACGTTACTTAACGTTA